TTGTTTGTTAGATATATGGATGATTACTTTGTGATATGGTAGCATAGTGAGGACAGTTTAGATAATTTCCTATTTTGATTTAATCAGAGTGAAAGGAATGTTAAGTTCTAAATATAATTAAAATAAAATAGACTATCTTATTGTAAATGTTATGGTTATTAGGGAAAATGGTATGCTAGGCATAGATGTCTATAGGAAAGCAGCATATGATGGTTATGTTGCTAATTTTCTTTCGAACATATTTACAAAATTAAGTTTGGAATTATATGATAATTTGGAATATGAAAAAACATCTGACCGAAGAGTTAAGAATGAACGGTTTATCTCTGGAAAATAATTATCCTTTGCGATTAATTAATAATAATATATATTGGATGATAAATTAATGCTCAGACTGAGATTATTTGATCAGGAATAGGCAAATCGAGACCCTTTCTCATATTCTAATATTGCCATCATGTTTTCTTTCTAAGAATATAAGAGAACTAGTGAGGAAATCGGGGATATACAGTTTTCAAAGAAGCTAAAACCTTCGTCGGCTGTGATTTCTATTAGATAGAAATATGATCCACCATCAGGATGCGGCAGTTACAAGATTATGTGTTCTTATGGTAGGCCTTATGTTGGTGATAACTGTCTGTCGAGCCACCAAAGATTAGCGGAGCACAAAAATGCTTGTAAAGGTGGCTGGGTCAAATGATCAGAAGTGGCTAATCACAGGGCGGAGACAGGACAGATGCAAAAGTTGCTGATTATCGTATGTCTGCTACAAAACGCAAGATATGAGAGTCTATTTAAACATAATAGTTTAGGGAATACGTAGAATGAAGAATGGTTGTAGAAAGCTAAGTAGGAAGTACTTATGCCCAATGGAAAGATTGAAGAAGTGTTGAGCCACCATTCAAAAAAAGACGAGTTAACGTGTCAGTTGAGTGATGCGTCTAACCAAATCCACACTCGTTCTACAGGCATGACGAGCTCATCAACAAACATAGAAGTAAAGACTACGTAATCGCAGCCATGCTTCCTCTTGAGTCAGTAAACCCTAACACCTCAGACTGACGTGCACGGATTGGAAGTTTCGTAACATGACTTTCACATGTACAGGCTATAATTGCTTATGGAATAACGAAATCTCGTCCATGATATTTTCCTTGAATTATTAGGTCTTGATGACCAAAAGTTGACGCTTACTCACTCTGAGTTATGGTGGGTTTTGCGTAGAGACGTTGACTCAGACACACTCGAGCATAAGTGAAGTAATCAAACTTTTCTATGTATATATATATAGCTAGAGAATCCTCTTGCAATGAGTATATAAAACATGTGGAAAAAAAGTCGACGAATCTTCTTAACTTAGCGTAAACTTGAGGCTTTTGAAAGAATAAGTCCCAGCTCTGATGTCCGTTATATGACAAAAGAAAGCTCAGTCCGTCTTCGCCTGAAGCGTTGGATGCTTCGTGGACTGCATCAACCTGATCTTCGTATACATGTCAAACAGCAGGAGTCTTCTGGTGAGATGCCCTTTCATGCTAAATAAGTCTCTACAACAATGTTGCCTTAAGAGAAACCGCAAAAACCGCATTTTATTCGTATATATATATATATATATATAAGT